TGGTTGGTCAGTGGTGGCTCCATGGTGGATTCATGGTGGGTCCATGGTTGGTCCATGGTTGGTCCATGATGGCTCCATGGTGTGTCCATGGTTGGTCCATGATGGGTCCATGGTGTGTCCATGGCGGGTCCATGATGGGTCGGTGTCTGTGGGTCTATGGAGGGGCCATGGTTGGTTCATGGTTGGTCAGTGGTGGCTCCATGGTGGATTCATGGTGGGTCCATGGTGGGTCCATGGTTGGTCCATGATGGGTCAGTGATGGCTCCATGATGTGTCCATGGTTGGTCCATGGTGGGTTGGGTCTGTGGTGAATCCATGGTTGGTCCGTGGTGGGTCCATGGTGGGTTCGTGATGGCTCCATGGTGGCTCCATGGTTGGTCAGTGGTGGGACCATGGTGTGTCCGTGGTGGGTCAGGTCAGTGGTGAATCCATGGTTCGTCCATGATGGCTCCATGATGGCTCCATGGTGGGTCAGTGTCCGTGTGTCCATGGTGTGTCCATGGTTGGTCAGTGGTGGCTCCATGGTGGATTCATGGTGGGTCCATGGTGGGTCCATGGTGGGTCCATGATGGGTCAGTGTCCGTGTGTCCATGGTTGGTCCATGATGGGTCCATGATTGGTCGGTGATGGCTCCATGGTGGCTCCATGATGGGTCAGGTCAGTGGTGGCTCCATGATGGGTCCATGGTGGGTTCATGGTCGGTCCACGCTGGGTCAGTGTCCATCTGTCCATGCTGGGTCAGTGTCCATCTGTCCACGCTGGGTCAGTGTCCGTGTGTCCATCGTGGGTCAGTGTCCATCTGTCCACGCTGGGTCAGTGTCTGTGTACGATGACCTCTGAGTGACCTTTGACCCCAATTTCCCCATTTTTAACCCATTCCTCCCCATTTCCTGACCCACTTTTAACCCATTTTAACCCACTTCTAACCCATTTTTAACCCTTTTTAACCCATTTTTAACCCTTTTAAACCCATTTTAACCCACCTTAAACCCACTTTTAACCCATTTTAACCATTTTTTAACCCATTTTTACCCCACTTTAACCCATTCCTAACCCCCCCCGCCCCACCCCCCTCCCCAATTTTCCCAAATTCTCCGTTTTTCTCCCCAGGAAACGTCCCCGAGGAGCTGCGGGACCCGTTCTACACCGACCAATACGCGCAGGAGCACCTGAAGCCGCCGGTCGAGCGCCTCCTGCTGGCCTCCGACATCTACTGCAGGGCCTGGAGCCACGCCCTGGCCACGCCCTGCCAGGCCACGCCCCCCTCGGCCACGCCCCACCCCGAGCCCCCCCCCCAGGATTTGGGGGCGCTGCTGGCGCTGCTGGCGGGGAGGGGGGTCCCCCCCACCCTGCAGGGGGTCCCCGTCAGGCCCCAGGACCTGCAGCAGAGGCCAATCCGCATGGTACTGGGAGCACTGGGAGGGACTGGGAGGGACTGGGATGGGATTGGGACCCATCCGCATTGTACTGGGAGCACTGGGAGGGACTGGGATGGGATTGGGATGGACTGGGAGGGGACTGGGAAGGGATCTGGGGGCACTGGGAGGGACTGGGGGGTGATTGGGAGGGACTGGGATGGACTGGGATGGGATTGGGACCCATCCGCATTGTACTGGGAGCACTGCAAGGGACTGGGAGGGACTGGGATGGGATTGGGATGGACTGGGAGGGGACTGGGAAGGGATCTGGGGGCACTGAGAGGGACTGGGGGGTGATTGGGAGGGACTGGGATGGACTGGGATGGGATTGGGACCCATCCACATTGTACTGGGAGGGACTGGGATGGGATTGGGGCCCATCCACATGGTACTGGGAGCACTGGGACGGACTGGGAGGGGATTGGGGGGCACTGGGAGGG